AGATTGTGGTCCATTTCAAATGAGTCAGAGATTAATAGAAAGTATAAGATCAAGATGTCTTCTGTGAACCAACCATGAAAATCAGGACACTCTGCCTCATTTATATCCCTGTGACAACTTCGAACCCTGATGGAAGAATTCACCGTTGATGCTAAGATAGATACCTGATGGTGTCGGATACGCAAGTCCGAAACTAAGCCAGCCTTTGGGATCAGACCATAATATTACAAAGGCTCTCAAGTTTGAAAAGTCTGAGTACTGGAATACATTTGACTGTTCTCAGTATATATTTATTTATTGCTCGTCGTCTACTCGGGTGGCGCATCGTAAACGATAGCCTGGGTGGTGAGTTCGGAACCAATAGGAGTGATGTGAAGTCTGGATGCATTTCATCACCCATCACCAATCATCGGGTGTTGGCATATCATTTCCCCGCTTGGAGTATGCATGTCAGACAGTTGCCTACAGCCCGATTCAGAATTGCCGAAGGTTGCATGCTCAAACATCTAAATACGGCTTCTTGATCCTCCATCCATCAAATGGAGGTTGGATTTCTGCTCCAATCCCATCCTGCTAGCATGGTGTCGACCACTGAGGAAGCTGCGGCCGGAGCTGGTAACCAATCAGATTTTACTCTTCATATTTTCCCCTTTTCTCTGTACTCCATCATGACTAGACTCACGTATGCATTTGGACACAGGGGTTCTGGGAAGCTGGAGTTGGACATGCAACTCGCGCTGGTCAATCTACACCGAAATGAGAATCTCTCTGCAGACTATCTTTTGACAGTCAATTCGAAGGGCCAAGTAAGGAACCCATCGCTTTCTCAGCCTGATTAGCTCTAGCTTTTCTTTGCAACACCAACAGAAGCAAATCTTCTGACAATAATAACTACAATAAGGTTCCAACTCTGACAGGGGAAAGTCTTGACAGACCATTGACATGTTCTTTGAAAATCTCATACTGGCTGTGCCAATGGTATCCCCATCTCTTGCCGCGAGAACACGAAGCGCAAATCAGATCGCATTTGGCCAAGATACACGACATCCAAGCCCTTTCACTCTCTGTACCTGATAAGAAAGCACGCGGGTACGGAGTTCCCAATATTGCTGCCGAGCAACTGAGCTCAGTCGGTGAAATCCCCGAGGACTACCGGAGTGCATTGCAGTTCAAAGCCGAGTTGTAAGTTCGCACAATCAATCTGCAGCACTGGCAGGTGTGATCAGAAAGCTAACGAACAGTGCAGCCACAAGAAACACATGGAGAGCGCGCTAGAAGCCGAGCAAGTAGTCTTGGCAGAGTCTAAAGTATTGGAGGTCTTTGGTGAGATTAGCGACACTCATCACGAGGGAGACATATGGCTTTTCGGGCAAGCTGTTGGCCCGACTATCCTAGATGGTCACTTAGTCCCGCTAATTACCCGTCTTCAAGATTGCGGGAGGCAAGATCTGGTACCCGGGATCTTGGCCGCGTACGCAGGTCGAGTCAGATCGACGGATGCATGGAGAGAAGCGACGCATGGGAGACCAACCATGTGGGATGTTTCTATGGGCCATGTAGCTGATATGGAGCTATAGAGATTTTAGTAGCAGATTTCATAGTCTTCATTCAGTTGGATCGTATTGCCACCTCCCATTTCTGAAAGACTGTCACACAGCCGTTCACATTTCCCCTCAATTATCACGACAAAGGTAAGCAGTGCCCCTCCAACGAAAACAAGATCCAAACCCCCATGCCTGCATCCACTCAACAAGTCAGGAACAAATCTGCGTGTTCCCATCAAATGATCCAATCAATTAGCACAATGACCTTCCCGATGAGCTAGAGCAAGCTGCGGCTACACCCGTCATCAATGCTTCGACGATGACCGTCACACCAAGACAATTTTCTTTTGAATCGTTGCCTAAACGTTTGCAGCCTGTTTGTGAACACGGTTAGGCCCAAATTGGGTTAGACAATCAGCTACACCGCGTCCTAGGCGGGGCTCTCAATCCTACCCCATGCTGACGGCAGGGATTGTTTGGGAATCTCACGCTCACATTGGTGGGTTCGGTTTCGCCCTGGGGTATCCCACAATTTGTCTTCCGAGGTTGGTGGGCACAGATATTATCTCGGGCTGTCTCCGCTCGCATTCCTGCACCTCGCCCTCGGACTCCCAAAGTTCTTTCTCATCAGGCTGCCCGCTCACCGAGGGCGTCCAACGGTCATTTGCCCCTGACCGGCACGCGCACCACGTCAGTGGCTGGTTCGGACTTGAGACCAACAGACTGACAACAAGGCTGGCTCGAGCCTTTACGGATATTCGTACTGGTTGTCTTGTGTTTTTAGCGGAACTATGGCTCGGAAAGGTAGCCGAAAGGTTAGGACGGGATGTTTAACCTGCAAGTAAGTTCCATCTATTGCCGTCCGATTGGATCGCGGGAGACGAGTCCGAGAGTAAGGTTTTCAAGATGAGTTGGCGCGTCGTCTAACGCTCGCTAGAGTACGTAAAATCAAGTGCGACGAGAGCAGACCATCCTGCAAGCGCTGTACCGCGACTGGCCGCAAATGCGATGGTTACCCACACGTCGCCGACTTGACAGATGTCTCATCCAGCTCCCCGGGTTCGGGTCCGTCTGTGGTCCTGACGGTCCAGCCAAGTCGCGCCTCTCCGGGAGTCAGTTCCCCAAGCGACAACCGCGCTCTGCAATACTTTGCTGAAGCCGTGGGGCCGCTCCTCTCAGGGGCCGTGGATCCTTACTTCTGGACGCACATAGTCATGCAGTTCAGCACATTTGAACCGGCGGTAACGCACTCCATCCTAGCCATCAGCGACCTCTACGAGCAGTTCCACACCGGAACTGACGAGATCGTTGCCCCGCGGGATTACAGCTTTGCTGTGCGCCACTACAATGCGGCCATGAGAGAGCTGATTGGCATGAAGACGCAGGACAAGCACCCCACGGTCCTGCTTGTCTGCCTTCTGTTCATCTGCATCGAATTCCTGCAGTCTGGGCGCGAAGCCGCTATTAAGCACTGCAAGCATGGGGTCGCGCTCCTTCGAAATACCCACAGCGAGTTCCCCTGGACCAAGGAGCATCTTCTCCCGCTTTTCCGACGCCTCACAGAGTACTCATTCTTCTTCAGCGGCGAAAAGGCTGACTTCCCGGACCTGAGTGGACTGGAACATCCTATGCCCCCAAGCTTTTCCTCGTTCCAAGACGCCCAGTTGATGATTGATGATCTCTACTGCCAAACCCTACAGCTCATGAAGCAAGGATATCCTTTTCGTTCCCTGTCACCAACGGGAAATGGCGTTCCTCCGAAATTACTAGCGCGGCAAGAATACGTCAATAGTATGCTTGACCGGTGGAGCATTCTCTTCGCCCAGCTGAACAACCAAAGCAAATACACGTCCTCGCCCACAACTAAGGCTTTCGAGGAAAAGCCAGACTACGTACCGAATATGCTGCGCGGTTTCCTCTCCACTCGATACGAGTGCTGCCGTATTTGGCTGAATATGGCGTTTACTAATAATTTGACTGGTTATGACAAGTACGTGCCAAATTACAGCCAACTAGCGAAAAATCTCGCCGAAATGGTCGTTCAAATATCAGAACACTCGAAGATGGAAGGCGTCCATGCCAAAACGTCCAAGTTCATGTTCGAAACGGGGTACACACCAATGTTGTTCTTTTTTACGACGACATGTCGTCATCTGGAGACGCGGCTGGAATTACTTCGGCTGATGCCCATCCTCGGGCTCCCGCGAGAGAATCTGTGGGAAATGGCGACGCTAGTTGCCGTGGCGCGAAGGGTCATTGAGCTGGAACACGGCATTTCACTGGACCCTGCCGGACGACCTACGGTCCCAGTCTCACCCTCCGCGCCTCTGCCGCCAAACGAAAAGAGAGTGGCGGATATCTGGACGGAGCCCAAGACTGAAGAAAGAAATATGAACGGGCACATTGTGCGTGGAAGAGTGGTTGGGTTCTTCAGACGTGATAAGCCTGACGGTGGCACATCTCTCCATACAGAGTTTGTGGAAGTAAGGAATGTCAAGGAGGAGTTGGGCGAGGGGATTGCAACTGTAGTTGTTCCATAGTAGTTTGCATCCTAAGCTTTATGTTGGGATGGAAATATGATGGCCGTCAATTCCTACCAATCTTCATGGGACGGCGTGGATCTCGTCTCTCATCCCCGTCAAATAATACGTCACTAAACAATATGACGTCGATTTCTTTCATGCTCAATGTCAGGAAGAAATTCTTAACGAAACGATAGAAGCCATAGCTGTCACAATCACCGAGACTGTTAGAACCCACTGTGTTTCTGATGTCACTAGTAAGGCATTCAAGCATATGGGGTTCCGGCCCATGCAACATACGTACTTGGCGTTCAATACACGTGCTTACGTACGGGCAACGTACCTCATTGAACGCAAATACCATCTTCATGATCTCTTTGTTCCACGCAGGGCTGAATGGCGTCAGTACATAAATACCCGTACTTATGCAGAGGAGTAGCGACCTTTGTGTCAGTCCTACCTCATACCCACTGCCTCCTCAGATAAAAAAGATCCCATGTTAGAGAAACCTGAGGGACGTACCCTGAGGCCCTTCGGGCCTCGCTTGGCAATTACGCGATGCAGGGGGTCGAACGCTTTCTGACTCAGTGTGGTTTCAAGCATTTGATGTTTGCAAAGTCTTTCATAGTCAGTGCAGCAAAGTAGATGCTCCTTGCCGAGTCTCAACTTCCTTTTTTCAGCCGGCTGGAAGACTTCGAAGCGAGAATAGACGCCAATAGTAAGTAGGCACGAGTACACGTAAAAGTGGCTCCGCCGCTTGGCGCATATCAATGTCTTAGAGTTGCAGATGTAGCCGCCGAGCGGCTGAGGGGCTGCAACTCACCGAGACTCATAAAACGAAGCAAATCCAAGCTTGTAAAATTGGAGCGACTCGCATCAACTCATCCTTAGGCTGCTTGTTCAGTTGGCGGATGATACACGCTGCCTCCGATACATGCGGTTTTCAAGTCATGTACCTACACGAGCAAGTCTTGCGCAAAGCCCGAGAACTCGAGTCAATTGTGACAATATGTCACGCATCCTACGCCTATTTGGTCAAAAGCGTGGCAATGAGCCTAGCATTAACTCAACTGATCTATGGGCGGAGGCCTTTGAGCTCCTCAAGAAACGCGAGAATGATGTGGCCACTGCCTATGCAGTGTACTTGTCAGCTGTGAAAGAAGACGCTGACGTGAATGATTTGCTGTGTTCAAATTTCGCTCAGTCGATCGTCAAACAATTGCAAGCACAACGAAAAGATTCGAAGTGGGCTACGTCTCTCCAAAGCAAGAGCACAAAGATGAAGGAAAAGGTGGAAGAACTTGCCAGGATATTGTTCTGGTCGGAGACTATTGTTGACGTGGCCGTCTCAGACCATCCCTTCACAGCTCTGGCCTGGTCAAACATCTTCATCCTCTTGGTATCAATCGTCTAGTCGGGCCCCCCAAAATGATTCTGAATCTAACAATTGTATAGATTCTCGAATGCGACAGAGATGAACAAGAGGATATATTTGAGGGAGTGGCCTCGATCATGCAGCTGCAACGATACTGGCAAATCTGGGAAGATTATACGGCGCAATCCAGGTCCAAACCAAGTACGACTCATCTTACCGTCGTGATCGATCTCTATTCTCAAATCGCGGAGTATCATGCTCGATCTATCCTCTTTCTCTCTTGTTCAGTCCAGGCGAAGACCAATATTCCTGAGCAGTTGAAGGTCAAGCTTAAGGAAATTAATGAGCTACATGACAGGTGCAACAGTTTCATGAGCGCGACACAACAAAATAGGATACGCCAGAAATCCAAAGATCAGTGGAAAGAAATATGCGACCGACGAAGCATCAAGGAAGCGGTTTCTTCTTTATTCAAAGAGATCGAACATAGGGCAGCATCAGGGTCGAATGACAAGAAAGAGCTCAGCGCTCCAGAAGACATCTCAGTTCGGCTTTGGAATAAAGCATATGACTCGATTAAGAGCAGCGATGAGAAACTTGTCCTGGAGTTCGAAGAGGTCTTGGTATTGCAAATGATCGATGGTCAGTATTCAGAATTTCAGTGCATCATGTCAATCCATTTTTGTCGCACAAATTGTTGATTGCATACTTACGGTACAAAATACTAGGGTTTGATGTCATCAGGCAGCCCAGCAATGGATATCAGCCAGAAAGGGACATTTTCAAAAATGAAAACGGGAAGGCGCGTCTCAGATTAATGAGACAAGTGGTGGAAGCATCTTTCGAAAAGGCTCAGAAACATGAAGGAGTCAGGAACGGCGTACTGAGCGTCGCAAACTTTGTGGTGGATCTACAGACGCTCATGGGCGCCGTTCTGTCGACTCAGCCAGCTGTTGCTATGGCTTGGGCTGGTATTTCTGCCATTATCCCGGTTAGATCTTCCCGCACTTGCAGTACAAGAAGGCATGATGAAAAACTTAAGCTAACAGATGAGCCAGCTTCTCACACGGCCTATTCTCCAGCATGAAGCAATGCTCGAAGGCCTCGGTCATGTGGTTTCCAGCATGTCCTGGTATATGGATCTCTCGCGCCATGTCATTGATGACCAATGGCAGAGAACTTCACAGCTGTCCACACTGAAGTTAAATCTCGAGGAGAGGATTGTACAGGTATACAAGGAGATGCTCCGATACCAAATGGAAAGTGCCGCCTTTTGCTTTGAGAAGCATAAGATGTTACAGGGGGTTCGGACATCCCTGGGTTCCAACGATTGGATCAATCGGACAATGAAGTTGAAAGAATTGGAAACGGGGCTGAAGGAAGATGTATCGCTATATTCAAGTCGGCAAGGAAACGACATTATGGGAAACATCTCTCACAGACTGACACTGCAATTTGGTCACACGAATCAGGGAGAAATGGCCACTCTCCTTGGTCATTTCAAGACAACACCCTATGAGCAGTACATGGAGAAGAACCCGATCCGGGCCCCGGAAACATGCGAGTGGCTTCGACGCAACGATCATTTCAATCGATGGAAACAACAAGCCAGCGGTCTACTAGTCATTGCAGCAGATGCTGGCTGTGGGAAGTCAGTCCTTACAAGGCATCTGATCCAGGATGTGCTTCCCTACGGCAACCCACATGCACCGACAACCGTGGCCTACTTCTTCTTCAAGGATGGCCCTAAGCAGAGTTGTCTCAAAAATGCCTTGTCCGCCATGATTCACCAGATGCTTTACCAACACCCTGATATTGCCGACTACTGCAGGGAGGAAATACAGGCTCAGGGGCCTGCTCTCTGGTCTGAAATCGCCCCGCTCTGGGCGATTTTCAAGAGAGCACTCAACTCTCCGGTCTCAAGACAAGTCATTTGCGTTCTCGATGGGCTGAGTGAGTGTGAAAGCTCCGGACGGCATGCATTGATCCTGCTTTTGAAGGGGCTTTGGACTGTTCGAGATTCGAAACCCCCTCCGGTCAAATTTCTCATTACCTCGAGGAGAATCCCAGCCATCCTGGAGGAGATGCAGAGGATTGATTCTTCATCAATCATCGATATCCGCCGCGACTTCACTCTTGACGATGAGCTCGATTTCACTGGGGTTGATCTATGGCAAGAAATAGAGCTAGCCAAGCGTCATCGTCTCAGTAAACTCACGATCGAGAAAGCACTGGGCCATAGAACGCTGGATTTCATTGTGAACTCCCTTAAGGTTCTGGAACCCCGACCCCACTTAGCGCCAAGAACCTATCTCTGGATGAGTGCAATATTCGACGCCTTGGATGAGAATTTCGAGGATACTCCAGAACAGTGGGCAGAGCTCGCGCAACATTGCCCGGGTTCTCTTTTCGATGCGTACGAGAAAATGCTCGGGCGCGTTTCTGATGGACAAATTGTACCCATCAAGAGGTTATTCCACTTAATGATAGCGGCCGCGGAGCCACTGACATTACAAGAAATGAATGTAGCCCTGAACGTTCCGGCACGTGAGGCTGCATACTCGGAGAGGGACTTGGATCTTCCATCCGTTGAGCTTCCGGAGATGGATGTCAAGTACATGCGGATTCTTTGTCACCGAGTTCCGCGGCAAAGTCGTTTTCTTGCATCAGGCAGCCGAGGAGTTTTTGCTACGAGGTTCCGATGAGGTTGTGGAAGATGACTCTGTATGGAAAGGCTCTATCGATATGCAAGAAGCTCATCGACTGATGTCCGAGAGTTGTATTGCCTACTTATCTCTCGGAGTTTTGACTACCCAAAAGTTCACGGCGTTGACCGCAGTGTTCAACAAGAGTTTGGCACAGGCACAAAACAAGCTGTCAGATGGGAGCCTTCCCCCGGATCAGTTCCTGGGTCAGGCTTACAGTGCATGCCATGAGTTCACGGCGGACTTTGATTTAACAAGCTTCTCCGTCTATGCACTCCAGCATTGGTTGACTCATTTCAACTACGCACAAGAGTTCGTCAATGGTGTCTTCGTACGGGACATAGATTCGACTTTTGACGCGGCATACTTTGGTCTCTTCGACGTTGCCGTGCCCATCACAGCTCCCGTCCTAGTAATGGCCGCTCAAACGGTCGAGGAAGATTGCGGCTATCAATTGACTGAGTTCGACAAGACGTCTGGCATGGTAAGATGTCACAACTCTGTTAATCTGGTTTCCCTGGCTTCAGTATTTGGTCATCATCGTCTTTTGGACAGGCTCCTAAAGAGAGGAGTTCCCGGCAATGAAATGTCTCCTGGAATTGAAACCAACCCTCTCGCTTCAGAATCGCCAGTTGTCAGACCACCGAGCCTCAAATACCAACCTGTATTCTTCGTAGCTGCGGCTGGGCATTGGAATAGTCTACCGTTCATCTTGTCGGAGATTGACTACAAAGGTGCTGTGGATCAGGTTCTACGTACACCGCTGCACCAGGCGGCGAGACTTGGGAGGTACAAGTGTTTGATATGTTTGGCGGATAAGTTTGATCTTGATCAACGAGACATTCACGGACAGACTGCACTTGATTATCTGATCCGTCGCATCGACGGAATCGAAGACTTGGACGCCGCAAGAAATGCATTGCGAGTGTTGATCCAAGTTAAGGGGGAGGGAACTGCAAACGCAGATACTGCCAACGCAATTACTGCCAATGGTCAAAGGCGGCATGAGATCTCACTTCTGGCCCTTGCGGCCAAGTCTCCCAACGAAACCTTTCTTGAAAGGCGTTATTCTTTGGGTTCAGTTGATGGACCCGAAAGGGCACAAGATATCAGAAGTTCCCGGCTTTTTCAGGCTGCCTTCGAGGGGTCCCTGATCAAGTTATTAGTGGATAACGGCGAAGACCCTGATCACCCAGAGCCAGAAGCTGATGGGTTCTATCCTCTTCATTTTGCAGCGAAGGGTCATTTCTGGAATACGCTATTTCTTCTCCGGGCAGGAGCTTCAGTGTCGCCGGTTGATGCGATGAGGCGGACGCCATTGCACCTAGCCTGCACTCTGTTTTCATCCGCTAGCTTTCCTCTTATATCAGTGCTTCTGGAGCACGGGGCTTCGCCAAATGATGCAGATATTTTCGGTCTAACACCGTTTATTTTTGCGGTTACTTATCCTCAATATTATGTGGGGGAAGCGATGGTAAAGCTGATGCTTGCACATGGTGCCAATCCGCATCAGCGAATTCGGGGCGGTGGACTGCCACCGGGTTCTGGGAAAGGTTTATGGCATGGTGATTCGCCCTTAGATATTGCTCGGAGGCAGAAAAGGTACCGAGCCCGATTAGATATGATGGAGAGTTGGCTTTTAGACACATCGTTGCTTTGGTAGATTGTTAGCCCAAAAGCTAATTTGAGCTTTGCGGATATCATACTTCGTTTGCAGTTGGCTGTCTAATATTCATGCGAGGTGTCTAGACCATGAACGCTGTTTGAAGCAAGCCAGAGTGTGGCCAGGAAGGTGTTGATAGCTTTTGGGTCAGATCTGACTGTCTAGCGTTGTGTTATCTCGATACCGAAAAAGCAATTTCAAGGTTGTGCTTGAATTGACCATTCCAGTCATTGGCCGGCCACTTCCTTGAGTTTGAGAACTATAATGTCACGCCTCTCCCAGTATGAGGTAGTCTGAGAAGAGAAAGAGCACATGTGTTGCAACCCTGCGGCCAAAAAGTACCAAGCCAACCATGGTGAATAGATCTTGTGGGTGTACTTTGCGATAGCCCAAGGAATTCAAAGCCATTTTTGTCACTCGGAATAGATACGAGAAAGTCTGTCGAGACAGTGAGAGTATTTACTCTCATTGTGGTTATTACTGTGTATAAGATATCGAAAACCGCCCGAGCAATCAGCAAAGGTAGAAATTAAAACATACATGAATACGAGGAAACTTTACGGGGCATGGTGCATGCCAAAACTTGTGAATCAATCTATGAAATTATACAGAAATAGCGGGTGTTTGTGCTGCATGACTGCACGGTAGAAGCTGTCGCGGCAAGCTATGACCAGGACTTATTTATTCCCACCTCTGAAACAACCCAGGTAGAGATGTCGTAGTTCACAAATACCAATTGACCACAATATGTGACTGGTTACAAGATTTATCTACATAGAAAGAAGATTAGCCAGGCAAAGCTCGTCGTAAAGCCATTGCAAGGGAAACAATTACAATGCCCCTACAAAATTGGCATGACCACATCAACAAAGAAAAAAAGGACCATCGAATACAGTAGCAATACTTCTCGGGATACATATATCAGCGGCCCACAAGCCCTGAGGCTGGATGTGTAAATCTAACTGTCTGTTCATAATACTTTTTTGGCTTTTTCTCAATCTGACTGCCCAGTAAAGCCTGCCTCATGTAGAACATGTCATCTGAGAAGTTCAACCTACCCCGCCGAACACAATGCGAAAATTGGGTTACCTCAGATAGTCTCCTAATTACCACGCGGATTGTCTAAAACCGCATGGAGATCCATCCAAGCTCACGTGGACTTTTCACAATTGGGTGTTTGATTGTCAGCACCACGTGCTTCAAAGCAGATCTCCCTTGTACTAATATGGATTTGATCGCAGTATCAGAAAAACCACACTTGCGTTACTTTCTGAGAGACTGTTGAACCGAACTGACTAAAAGTTTCTAGAGATGTACCGTACGATACGTGTGGATGCTCTTCGGATATAAAAACACGAAATCCGCAGGTCCTCTTTTGCTGACAGTTTCGCCTTGGATCCATGATCTCTGTTCTGATTAACCTTTCGAGGATCCTGGCACATCGAACCACAGCAAACCCCGAGAAGCTTGACGTAATGTGCTTTCGAACTTTAAGGGTAGTATTTTCACCTACGGAGTATAGGCCGTCTCTAATGCAACTCACCAAGACCCTGCTCGCACTCGTGTCAATCCTCGCTTTCGCTGGTTCGTCATAAATACATTACTGAAACCTATTTTTGACACGCAGCATGCTGACTTATGCAGAGGCACAGAAAGCGTGCAAATTCGGCACTTGACAGAGACAATTGGGTGAGTGCTGTGACGGTTCCGGCACAAGCGAGATCATGAAGAACGTGACTCCATGATGAGGCAGGATAAGCTGAATTTTGAGAATGACGGTTCATTTGATGTTCTAGAGTCGTTGAATGGGTTGATGGAGAGTAGGTATCGCATCATCGACCTAGGTTGAAGCTCAACGTAGAATGACGAATTCGAATGTGCACGACCAATGAGAATGCCGACAATATTGTAGCCATTGGTGTCTGACTCACGATTCGTCTGATTGAAGTGCAGCAGGGGGAAATAAAGTTATCGAAATCTCAATTCCCGTCTTGGCCCCGGTTGGAACACACCGTTCGTCATCGTGATGCAAACCGACATCTGGGGGCCTACCCCCACACACCCGGCCATGTACTTGAATAAACTATGTCTATCTCTAAGGCGTTGATGTTCATCTGTTGCAATATCACTCACAAAGGACCTGCTTATCAGATTCCCATATCTACACATATGCCCCAACTACTTAGCACCGTCTTTCTGATGTCTTTGGTACATGGCTTGCCGAATTCGCCCTGATGTCATCATATTGCCCTGACTAGGAGCTGGGGAAATATTATGTGTGTGACTCGCCATTAGGAAACTCTGGCATCCTATGCTCATCAGATTATTTTGACTGTCCCACGTTGAAAGATCTCTCGGTTTTGATGAGATCGCCATCAGAACTCGAACGTATAATAGGGCGATGTGCTAAAGTCGCGCCAAAAGTGTGCCCGTGATTCCACATCGCAATTGCACCGATTCCCATTTCGCTTCGTCCGTGTACCCAACTCCTTTCTATCCCATCAGTTTTCTGGATTTGGATTAAAAGACAGGACATAAACTTTTCGTAAATTTCGTCGTGATCTCTGCCCATCTCGCTGCTCATGCCTGGGCACCTCGTAATTCGGTGGCACTTATTTCAATATCGTCTTCGTCGTCCAAGTGCCTCCCTTCCCTTTCGAATGTCTGATCTGCGTCAGCTTCGTCGTCGTCTCGCACGCAGCGCTCGCCTAATTCTGTATCAGCGTCATCAAGCGCTTCTGCTGTTTCAAGACCGATTGTTGTCGGTGTTTTTGATCGCCTCTGCTCCCAACTCTTTCTCGTGCTCGTACTGTTGCCGTCGGGATCAAGTGGAATAGTCACGGCGTCATCCCTTAATGTGGATATACCGCGTGATGGTCGTGTTAAGGTTCGTAATGTTGACTCCTGGCCAGGTGATGTGATCCAGTTGATCACCAGGGCCGAGAAAAAGACTAAAAGGCCTTAGTCGGACTTGTCTACGTGAGGCGCTGCGTAAATACTCACTATCGGTGTTGCAGCATAGCAAGCACAGCCATGCCACCTCCCCATTCAAAGCCATGAGAACACTCAGATTTCTAGATCATGATAAGTGCGGGTTCTTCTCAGACCAACAATGAAGAACGTACGTCACACTGCTAACAAGAGTGCAGCAAGAACCGATGAAAGTGCGTATAACGAGTTTTCGTAGCCGAACATTGGGTGGAGCTCTGGGGATGCGACGATTACGCCAGTCCAATGTCCATGGCTTCCAGAAGTTGTACTTTACGGAGTGTAGACCTGGGCAGCATCAGCAACCGTACAACATAATCGCCTCTTTAGTAGCTTACTCAGTAAAGGA